ATTTGAAGGTGTTCTTTCTATCAGCTATATATATAGCTAGGAGTAGGCTTTAATTGAATTATAAAGACTAAAAATTTCACTTTATGTGAAAGTATTCAAGCCAGGAAACCCATACTAATGAAACTTCCATCTAACTTACATGCTCCATACATGTACATTTTTTGACACTTCTTGTAAACTTGTCAAATTTTTAGGCTTTTAGCTAGATGTTTAAGATCTCAAGATTCTTTAGGTTCAAAAAGTAAACATATTAGGCGATGTACCTTAATCTCTTGTAAGTCTGCTGTCTATTTAATACTTAATAGATATAGGACTTTGTCTTAAATTTTTGTACAATCCTCCCTTTGAATGAGTACCATGTTATCTTGGCTCCTTTTCAAGCGATAGTGTATCCATCTTTGTCCATCAAATTATAACGAAAGATTATATGCTTTATTAAGGCTCAACTCTTCCATGATGTCGGGCCACTGTCTTCCGAGGGAACAACCACCTTACGAGACAACCAAGGATTTTTTTCACCTATGGAAAACCATGAACCACCACCTTCTTCAGTTGCAGCTCAGGATCTGTCTTGTGCACTCACATAACTAAGGTTAGGGCTGAGGCTCTACCACTTGTGGGGAATTAGATTTTCATTCTAAAAGATTAAACCATTAAGTGCAGTAGTCTTGTGAACTTTGTTTGTACTTTCCCAACAAATTATAAGTATTTACCATTTCGAAACATGAAATTAGATTTTATATATTCTGACTTAATAATCTATACTTATCTCGTATGTTTTCCTTAGAGGGAAGTTGTCCGGATTGAATAAAGTTCGGTATAATATAACCATTGACAATTATTGATCTAGAGTGAGTTGTGAAAGAAAATAATTGTCCCTCTTCAAATTAGAAGAAGCGTATACGAACAAACCGAATGTATAGAATTCTAAATGACGAATTGAGGTAGAGAAGACCAATGATTACTTGTTTATTTGGCCAGTTAAAGTTTGGGAAGGGATCAAATAGAGTAGCTTTATGCTTGTTTAGCACAAGACATTATCATAAGTGCATATTACAAAAATAGGGAGTGACTTGAAAATTAATATTGATTTTTTATTGCATTTAAAGAAAAATGTAAAGAACAAGATTGATTCTCGATAGACCAGAAAAGAATACAGGTTAGAGATGAAGAATTGATTTATTAATGAACTGAATTGATTGAATTTTACATCAGACTGATAAATGCGAGTTTATTGCGCTTATTCGGACCATTAAACTTAGATATTTGCGAGTTTTATTAGCGATTTATTACTTAATTTTCTTATTTTTATTTTGTAGGTGAAAACTCGAGATTAAACGATGAATTGAAGGAATTTATGCGAGAAACGAGCTAAAGATAAAAGTAAACGAAGAAGACGACCAAAGACGCAGCCGAAAGAATATTTAAAAAAAAAAAATTCAGCACGACGCCTAGCCCGAGCATAAACAGAAACTATGGCGCCCAGGCGCCACTCGAGCCGTTTTTAATTGTTTTCAAATTTTCAGGGACCAATGCTGCAATTTCCTTTAGGTTTTAGGTTAAAACATTCAACCAAACACAAGATTTTTCATTCTAACTTGAGAGGTAGCTGGTTCTTCTTCTTCTTCTTGCTTTTTTTTTTTTTTTTTTTTTTTTTTTCCTTTCACCTTTATTTTCTAAGATATTTTGGGGAAAATTGGAATATGGAGATGGTGCATTAGCTTGGAGAAGATGACCCATTTATATTGAAGGATTTTCAACCATTTCTCTCTTTATCAATAAGTTTTTTTTTTCAGTTTTTCCATCAATGTTTTGTAAGAAATTGTTAGTTATTTGTGGATATTTCATGGGTAATTAATTATATTTTGTGATTGTGGATTATTTCAAACCCGAGTTATGATTTTCAATTAATTTGTGCTTTATAATTTTCTTGATTAATGTGTTTAATCCATTGTGTTAAATGTTTATTTTGTTCTTCTTGATTGTTTAGGTGTACAACTAAATGGTTAAGTTGTTTTAATAATGCTATTTTAAAATTAGTAGTACGTAGTATCTATTGATTCCAAAACCTAGTAGCAATTACATTTCGATAGATTATGAAGAATTTTCAATTGAATGTATGTGGATTAACACTTATGTTTGTAAACCGAGCTTGCGAGTTTACCCTTAATTCAATTCATCTCTTTTGTCGTAATGTGTTTGTTAAATTAAATTTAGAGAGCTTGTTCTAGGTTGTTTAAGGAATAGGGTTGAGTAAAGAGCTTGTTTTATTCGACTAATATTTAAGAAGAAATTGAGGTAATTGAGCTTGTAATTATTCTCGAATTGTTGTTAATCTTGAGAACGAAAATCTATTGTTGTAATTGACATGAAAATCATTCTCGTGGTGACGAAATATCCCCCAATCACATATTTTCGCATTCAATCAAGAACAACTTTGTTTATTTCAGATTTCAAGTCTTTTCTAGTTAAAATTTATCGCTTTCCTTAGTTCAACTAACCACACCCCCCCCCCCATTTAATCTAAGTAAGGAAAAATAATTGGAACGTTATATGCAACGTATCACAGTCTTTGGCTATATTTTATACTGTATTGTAACAATAAAGTAAAATGTAATAGCTTACTAACTGAGCTGTAATAACTAACCAACTACTTCTGAGCTGGCTTTTCTTCCAATTTTGACTTTCCTTCTTTTCTTTTTAATTCCATCTTGTCAATTTGTGATGCAAGACTCCAACACCCTCCCCAAGATGAACATGTATGTCAAGAATGTTCATCTTGTGAAGAGTGTGATGAAAAGATAGAGAGCCAAAGGGCTTTGTGAAAAATGTCTGCGAGCTGAAGTCTGGATGGGACGTGAAATAGCTTGATAACATTTTGGTGGAACTTTTCCTGAACAAGATGACAATCAATTTGAATGTGCTTTGTTCTCTCGTGTTGGACTGGGTTGGTGGCTATGGATAATGTTGACTTGCTGTCTATATAAATAGAAGTCGGTTGTGGATGGGCAACGTTCAAGTCCTGTAGAGCATAAAGGAGCCATTGTATTTCGCAAGTGCTCGATACTCAGCCTCTGCTGATGAGCGACTGATGGTGGCTTGTTTCTTTGATTTCCAAGAGATCAATGAATTGCCAAGAAAAATTGCAAAACTAGTGACACTTTTTCGAGTGTCTATACAATCTGCCCTATCACTATTTGAGAAGGCCTTTAGTTGCAAGTCTGAAGAAGAAGGAAAAAAAAAACCTTGACCTAGTGTAGCCTTTAGGTATCTCAACACTCTTGTTGCTACTTGATGATGAATTACAATAGTTTTAGCAAGGAACTGACTAAGCACTTGGACAGAGTATGCTAAGTCAGGCCTTATGATAGTTAAGTATAATAATTTCTCAACAAGTCTTCGATAGTTCGATGGATCCTCATACAAGTTCGTGTCACCTGCAGATAAATTGAGAGTGGATTCTATGGGAAAAGTAGTAGGTTTTGATCCAATGAAGCCAGTATCTTCGAGAATATCAAGGGCATAATTTCTTTGGCACAAAGATATACCAGATTGGGATCTTACGACCTCTAGACCAAGGAAATATTTCAGTTGCCTTAGATCTTTAATGGTGAACTTGTCATGCAAAAGAGCTTTCAACTTTTGACTTTTCAGAGACTATCACCGGCGAATATCACATCATCCACATAGACAAGCAAGACAATAAAAAAATTATCGAATTTCTTGATGAACAGGGAGCAATCTAAGTTGCCTTGGACAAAACCATAGAGAAGGGCATTGGACAACTTAGCAAACCATTGCAGAGAAGCTTGCTTTAGACCATAGAGACTCTTCAACAATCTGCAAACTTTTGGTCCACCTTTTGCGATCATTCTAAGACGCAATTTCATGTAGACCTCTTCATCTAAATCCCCATGTAAAAATGCCTTATTTACATCAAGTTGGTTAAGATGCCAATTTTTTATTGCAGCCATAGCAAGTAAGAGTCAAATGGAAGTGATTTTTGCCATGGGAGAGAAAGTATCAAAAAAATCTAAACCTTCTTATTGGTTATACCCCTTTTGCCACCAATCTAGATTTGTGCCTTTCTACCGTTCCATTTGCAACCAATGGCTACTTTATTTTGAGGAAGAGTAACAAGCTCCTAAGTTTTATTCAACTCCAAGGCATGGAATTCATTTTGCATGGCAGCTTGCCATTCAGGTATTTGGGAGGCTTACTTAAACGTTTTAGGCTCTGAAGTGTTTGAAATAGATGCTAAAAAAGCTTTATGTGAAGAAGATAGCCTATTAGTTGAAAGAAAATGATGAATAGGATAGAGAG